CCCAGTCCTCATGCAAATCAAATGATTTGTGTGGCGCATATGTACTTGATGCCACTTTGTACCAATATTTATGTGTTCAAATACATAAATAAAACTGTGTATTTTATTTTATTCAAGAACTTAGCTCAAAGAAAAACATTCCAGTCGGATAATCCATGGTTAGATAACTTCTCAAACTATGGAAATTGTATTGTTTTTTAATCACAGTGAACTAACCATGTATCAATTTTAAACCTAAATCACTACATATCTTATACTTAATCTCGACAAGAACTACTGACGTATCTTAGTATCCGGTTAGTGTAGAGTAAGTTCTATTTAGGAATGATTGAAGTTTCTACTAAGACGCCATCAATAAGCATTCAGATGGACTGAATGTCTGTCACACAACAGCGCTTTAACGTTAAAAATCCACATACTATTACAGAAGGTGAGACTTTCAGGATAACATAACAGTCCTTACAGACGTCAAAACCTGAAGAGATTTTACTTTATTTTATAGTAAAATGTAATTAACTTGCAGTGCATAACGAAGTTATCAGACTAAGAATGATAAGCAATCAGGTGACAGGAAATATTATTCCGGAAATACAGCAGGTCAGTTGTGGCTCGAATAGCTCAGTGGTAACGTCTCTGATAATGAAGCTGTGTGACATGAGATCAAACCTATGAGGAATCATCGGTCCCCTCAAGATTACCGGTGCATATGTGATCTGTGCTACTGATGTCGACAGATATAAACAGTATGTATCACTAATCAAAAATGGAATGCCTGTTGGTGGAAGGTTGAGAAAACCGAAGTGAAGAGAACGAGAACGAAGATTGATTGGTGTGGAAACGAAGGAGGAATCAAGTTTGCGACATTTGATTGACATTTAGCAAATGAAATATTTACTGTATGGTTCTCAGATTTCAGAACGATATTCTGTAATGGTGTATTGGAATTCATTTGGTTGTCTCCAATGATGTTCTCGTTCACTTCAAACCTTGCTGACGAGAACCAATTACATGAAATCCGTGTCCAGAGCTTCCTATTGACAACTTTCAACCATAACCTTAGGTCTCAATATAGTGCAATTGATGCTGAGTCATCTAAACTAAAAGTCAAGCTGCAACTTGGTCGATAGGATCTGAACTGAAATAAAAAGGTCCTAACACACATAATATGTAGTAGCGAGAAAAACTCGATAACCTGATTTCACCTTAACAATCTAGTTGTGAAATTACGTTATAATTCATTCACTAAATAAATTTTCTAATCACTTCAATGTAATAACTCACAAACTAACACAAACACAAACAAAAACAAATAGCCATTTTTCTCTAAGCAATAATGGATAGTGGCTATCAGTGGAGTCCAGTTTTACGCACGTTTCGTCCTATTTGGGAATGTTCCCAGAGTGAAAATCAACTCTGAGATGCAGGCACATCCAGCTGAAGAGTCCTGAATAGAACGAAACGCGCATCCTGGATTCCACTGCTAGCCACTATCCATCATTGCTTACAAAGAGCTTGTGAATTGAGGCAATATCAAGGCATACGCACAGTATGCACATATGCCAATAACAGACTGATCAATTGCAGTCTTAAACATCAATTGGAAGATTTGAGTAAACAATACTAAGTAAAGCCATCTTTAGAATAAATAAACAAAATATTTTCACTATTAAGGTGGAGACTGTCTTTATGAAATTTGAAAACCATACATTAAATACTCCATCCATCATCTCTTACAAACTTCATCGTTCCTTCATTTCTGTTGTTACTACGATTACTCTCTGTTTGTATTCCTATACTCTTCAGTTCGATCTTTTCAACCTACTGTTGCCAGGCATTCCACCATTACTGTTAGATGTTATATACAACCATTGCAACCTGGAAGCATTGAACAGTCCTGGTGTAGGACTCTTCAATAGTATGCGTCTATAACCCTACCATAACATATTAAACCCAAGAAATTAGATCACTCGCGTGAACACTTAACCTTGAGACATCTGAGTAGGAATCCAAGGGTGTAAATGTTTTACTCCGATCAATCACTTATTTTAATCATAAATATGAATTCGGTTGAATGTTTTCTAGTTATTTTTGAAAGCATTTCACACTGGATAACGTTAGGTTGTTGAAACTTATTTTTTAGGAAACTTCGCTAGACTTAAGTTTCTTGCTAGTTGATACTCGTTAGCACGATGTACTTTCAATTATCAAAGAGCTCGTCGTTTTTTTGGTGGATTTAAATCTACATCAACCAAATTTACAGTATCAGACTTTATCACTGAGTTAGTTAGTTGATGTATGCTGTGTCTCCGAAACACGCGTACAAAATCCTAGTGTGGTCATTCGCCTGACCTCACCTCGGCAAAACGGAGAGCCGACGAGATACACCCTCCGTGTATCTGGCGACCCGATGGCTAGTTCTCATGGACTGGTAGGTGTAGGCATAGCACAAAGCATGAGGGCGGAACAAGCGCTATTGGAGTGGATCCCCGTAAACAGTCTATGCGCTGTTCGGCTAAACGGCTCCGTAAGATCTCGGAAGGATAGGGACACACGTCGTTGCCTTTTCGTCGTTTCTGCCTACGCTCCCACTGACTACAGCTCGGATGAAGTGAAAGATGAATTTTACAGAAAACTCTCTGAACTTCTTTAGCAAGCTAAACGTTCAGAAATAGTACTCATAGCAGGCGACTTTAATGCCCAGGTAGGTAGCTTAAATGAAACAGAAAGACATTTAGGTGGGTATTTTAGTATTCCGGCACAGCGAACAGATAATGGTGATCGTCTGCCGCAACTGTGCTCAGACAATCGTTTATTTCTAGCAAACACAAATTTTAAGCATAGGGAGAGACATCGTCTAACATGGCGACCCCCTGCATCAAACCAACGATGGACTCAAATAGATTGACTGAGTTAGTCGACCTGTGATTTGCACCGTATAAACTGAAATATTCACATTGTTTGGTCACTGACAAAGGACTTATGTCATGTTCTTCTAGCCCTTTAATACTGATGAAGTTCTATCATTTACCAGTAAAAACTATGGGCCATATTTGTTTTTCCTTTAAAAAAAAGCAACAGTTTTCTCTCACTTATTATATTACCTTAGCCCAAGTTTACAGATTTGAACTCATTTATCATTCTTGACAGGAATCGGATGGGGGGAAGGAAAGAGAGACATTGTTTTTAGTGGTAACTGAATCATTGAACAATCTACAGATCACTGAAACATAAAGAAACACTTAATAAGGTTACACATTCATAACTATATATGCCTAACCTCCTATTAACAGGTCATATTCATAAAACATTTGTAAACAGTTTAAAGAGAATACTTGAGAATGGTTACATGATACTGACAAAATGTTTCTGTCTGTCTCTCTCTCTCTGTGTGTGTGCGATGGCCATTACCACTAAGACATAAATGTGATCTGAAAGGCCTAAATTCAAAAAGTAATGACAATTCACAACACAGCACATAGTTGTGAAAAGGAAATGAAACTGAATGAAAGATGGTCGCACAATTTTGTGGATTGGTTAAGGTTAGGACATTAACACCGTTGAATGCCGGCCGGCTTAGTGGTTTAGAGGTTAAGTGTCCACGCACCAGACCGAGGGTCCTGTATTCGAATCCTGTGAGCGGGATCCTGGATGTGCATTGTTGAGGAGTTTCATAATAGAATGAAACGGTCGTCCAATGCTTCCGGGTTTTCACTGGTGATCTAACATTAATCGATTGATGATCTCAATCAAAAAAAATAATAATCTCCACGACTCCATACTAGGCACTGTTTTTTTTGCTTAGCTCCATTTTCACTTTTCACATCATCGTAATAAGAATTGAATTTGATAAAAGCAGAATACTTCATTAGTCAATATTTAGCAACTCACATATAAACCAGCCCTAATATGGATTTCATAAGATGTTAAGAGTAAATCATGGCAATAATCTTCATACTGATAATTGAATTTCACTGGTTGAAATCATGAGTCAATTAAAGCTAGACCATCATGGAAAACCTGGAAGCACTGGACGGTTGTTTCATCCTAGTACGGGACTCCTCAGTGGTCTAGTTGGTTAAGCGCCTGGCGCGAGACTGATAGGTCCTAGGTTCGAATCTTGCGGCGTTAGGGAAGGATCGTGGATACGAACTGCCATGGAGGAGTCCCATACTAGAACGAAACGGCCGTCCAATACTTTCAGGTTTTCCATGGTGGTCTAGCTTCAATTAACTCATGATTTCAACCATTGAAATTTCTGAAATCTTCACACAACCCCTTCTGTTAATGATAATTGAATGACATAAGTTTTAATAATTGTGACAGGTTGAATTGATTTTTTTTTTGCTTTTTATTGAACTAATCCAACTGTTTAATTTAGAAGTTAACACTATTCAATAGTTGTAAACATTTACTGACGTTCTGTGATGTAAACCGAGAAAATTCGACAATCTCATCAAACTCCTCACACTAATAATAATAGTAGTACACTGGTTAATGACCGATTTCGTTTTAATAAGAGACCATTACTAGTGGAGTTCAGCTGTATCAGAATTGAGACAGTTTACCCATTATTGACGTCGTATAATAATTGTGCAATTTTACGAACTGAAATCTAAATAACCCTTGACTAAACACTCACTGAAGTCATGGATGTGTACTATTGAGGTCTTGTACTAAGACAAAACAGTTACATAGTTTTTCTTGATTTTTAATGACTATTTAACTTGGATATCAACTTGGGAGTTTAGAGCTTAAACGTTCACTCGCGCGACCAATACCTCTTAGGTTCGAATCTCACAAGGCAGGACTATGGATGCACACGGTTGAAAAGTCTTATACTAGGTTAAAAAAAAAAAAACAGTCATCCAGTGCTTTTAGGCTTTTCCCTAGTGATCTAACTTCAATTGACTCATGAATTCATATTCAATTCCATTTACTCCAACTTTCTATTTTCTTCTTTTTCTTTCTTGTTCTTCTTCAACAAACTATTCAACTTTAAGGTTGAATTAGCTACTGAAGAAGAAACATTAATAAATGATGAAAATCTATTGAATAATGATAATAATAAAGAAGAACATAAAGAATTAAATGATACTATGAATACAAATGATAATCACCAATTAATGAATTGTTCACTTGATAAAAGTACCATTGATAATTGTCATAGAAATATGCAAAAAATTCAATCAATATTTATGAAACCTAATCGAGATCTTTCACCAATAGGTGGTTATTTACATACAACAGGTTATTATTCTACAATCAAATCATTAACAACAAAATCATCTACAAGACCATTAAGTACTATTGAATTAGATCATGAAATTGATCAAATGCTTGATGAATTATCAATTGATTGTTTAGAGAATAATGATTCCAATCGATTATCAAATAATATTCATCATTCTAGATTCAAAGAACATTCAACACGTCCATTAAGTTTATTGAATACATCAAATCATCATAATGATATAGATAGTTTAATGAATCATGAACAATATGATAATGATCATAATGATAATGATAATGATCAATCTAGTTTACCTGAATTGAATACTTATGTTAAAATATGTAAACCAAGAAAATTTGGTTTAAAAGTATTTCATCGTTATTATATATCTATTAAAGGAATTGAATTATATGTTTATAAGGTAAGTATTGTTTATTTGCTGTGTATGTGTGTGTGTGTGTCTGTGTTGATGATTGATCCTGGACTTATCATTGTGATGTGGGTTACTTATATCCACACAAATAGTATATGACGGTGATCAGGCATAGAATGTATTTCAGTAGTAGGTCGATGAGGAAAGAACGGGAACGAAACTCAATTGATATGAAAACGCATGAACAATGAAGTCTGCTGGCCGGATATCGGATGTAGATGGCTCAGCAGGCCGGTGGAGCACGGGTGTCAAACGTCCCAGGTTCCGGGTGGATGTCAGATGTTGGTGTCCCGATAGGTTGACAGAGCTATGGACGCCAGCGCTCCGCAGACTCGACATTTTGACGGAGGGTGTAGCACAGACTGCAGAACAGAAGAATGTGGCACGGCGAGCATGAACCATCACAAGAACGACAGCTTTAAATGGGGGATGAGTGTGGTGTGGGTTACTTTCATCCACACAAGTAGTATATGATGGTGGTCAGGCATGGAATGTATTTCAGTAGAAGATCGATAGACAAAGAACGGGAACGAAACGCGATAGGTATGAAAACGCATGGACAATGAAATCAGAGACAATGGATTGATTTTTGCAACAGGAACAGTAAAATTTGATATGATGGATTGATATTTTGCAAATTAACGATTCACTATATATGGTTCTCAGATTTTAGTAAGATGCTTCGTAATTATGTGCTCAAATACATTCGATTATCCCCATTGATGTTCTTGTTCACTAAATCATCATCAAAACCATATAAGTATTTGTAAATATATAAGTTTAACTAATCCACGAAATTGAGCGACACATCCATCATCGTAACAGTCCTGGTTGAAATCCATTTGTTACTGCTTCTCACTAGAACTCCAGGGAAATACCTCTCTCGGGGGACGAGATTGTGGATGCACACTGTTGAGAAGTGCCACAATTGGATGTCCAGTGATTCTAGGTTTTCCATGGTGATCTAGCTTCAATCGACTCATGATCTCAACTATTGAAATTATTATAATATCCATAAAAAACCCTTCTAATATTCATAAATAGTTGTTTACGTAAGATACTCTATATCTATTGGTTGGATATCATCGATTATGCAATCAAGATACTGAATGTCCTTTAACCGGATACTATCAACAACAGCCTTCTGTGGGAGAGAACAAATCAGCTTACAGTTGAAGAGTAAAATTAGGAAAAGATGTTGGAATTTCATACGTTATATATATTGAGGGAATCATCAAACTGCATCACAAAGCAAGCGCTAACTTGGAATCGTGAAAAGAAGCTGAAAACAGGAACGTCGAAGAACACACTACATGAATAGGATGAATAGCAACAGGAAAGGATTGTCTAGTATAGAGTTAGATAGAGAACGCTGGTGGTTAGCCTATGCTCCTCCACAATGAGTAACAGACGTTATTAAGTAAGTAAGTAATCACAATTGATTGATCACTGGGTGGTGATCAATCAGTTGTGATTACAGATCACTCCGGCCCGGGTAGCTCAGTGGTAACGTCTCTGACTGTGATCCTGGGTGATATGGGATCGAATCCGTCAGAGAGCACCAGTTCCCTTAAGATTACAGGTACACCTTGTTGACGATTGCCAAGTAGCATGAAACCCGGGTCTAGGGTTTCCTGTTGACTATCTCCAACCACCATCTAATAAGTAAATAAGTCGATCCTTGACTTATAAGTTTAAAAGTTACCTAATCACTGTGGTTGGATTGTAACATTAGCTCTGCCTTATAAGAAATATGTGTAGTATAAAGTCAAGTTATATTAACTCATTCTAGATCATTTGGTTACATTTTATAACAGAAAACATGTAAGAATTAGTAAGTATATGATTTCTCCTTATTGAAATTCATTATTTTATTATTTGAACACATAAATGTTGGTACAAGAGGGCACCAAATATATATGCGCCACACAGAATTTTATTTGTGTGTGAGCTATGATACTGCCCGGGTGCCCAAACCGAAGCAGGTGGTTTTATTAGGGGGCCACACCCCGAGCCTTCGACCTGAATGTCTGACCCACAAGGCAGTGGAGCATCGTGAGGAGATGCAGTCCCATGGTAGCCGATGACCAACGGTTGGTTCATACACCATTTGTTCCTTCAGGATACTGGAGCCAGCCCATGTGCACCATTGATTCGGGATCTGCTTAAAGAGCCGTTCATTCGCTTTTCGTCCTCCCATTTTCGTAAACAACACCTCCGCCACGAGAAGGCAGTGAGTAGAACTTCCCTGTCAGAGGCTGTATACGCGTGTCCGTGTGAGAGCATTTCAAGAGGGAGGGCGGGCCCACCCTTCTCGGCCATACCAAGGCATTTTGGGGCATTAAATTCATTACTCTGATTTATCACTCTATATTGCTATATACATATCTTTAGTAGATTTATTCAGTCTGATGAGAAAATTACTGGATTACAATCTTGATGTAAACATCGAAAGTGAAATTTTAGTGGTCAGGAATGTGACGCTAGTGAGATCGTTTCTGATTTCTACCTTCTAATTTGCAGTCAGATCCTGGGCAACTAAAATGGTGAGCCCGACAAACTTAACTCAGCAATCATTCAATAACCAACATTCATACGATATAACTGGAGTCAGATCCTGGGCGAAACAAAAAAGACAGGTACCTTCGACTGAAGAATCTAAAATAAGATGAAACATTTATCTTAGATTTTATAACCAAATTATACAAAAGCATTGTTATTATACTTTTCTATGAACATTCCATTGATGTTTCATGGATTAGGTCCATTTTAGTCAGTCATAAAGGATGTTTTAAAAGAACAAATGGAATAGCTCACTGAAGACAATGGTGACGGTGGCGCAACTTCGTGGATTGGTTAAGCGCCTGGCGCGAGACTGATAGGTCCTAGGTTCGAATCCCGCGGGGGGCGGGATCGTGGATGCGCACTGCTGAGGAGTCCCATACTAGGACCAAACGGCCGTCCAGTGCTTCCAGGTTTTTCATGGTGTTCTAGCTTCAATTGATTCATGATTTGAACTATTGAAATTACCAATTCTCCACAAAACCCATTCTAGTAATATATGTATATACCATGACGACTGGTGTCGAGCTATTTCTGCGTTGTATACTGACTCTATTTGAATAAATCAACCGTAAGATTATGAATATCCTGTTTTGTTTTAATCAATAAATCATCCTCAGAGAACGGTTAAAAAATTGGTATGTTCATTACATCAACTAAATAATCGATATCATGTTTGTTAAGAAATCAGTTATATGATATAATTTGTGTATTAACTACTCATAAGTAATATAATCGATTAACAGTAGCTAAACTTACTTTTTGACTAATAGACTAATAAGTCATTGTTTCTCACTAGAACTCTATGAAATACCTCTTGAAGCCAGTCATTAGTGAGCATATGATGATTAGTATCAGAAGGGATTTTTTAGAGTTCAACCGGATCTTTTGTGAGATAGTAACTCACTGAAGACAATGGTGGATGTGTCAGTCGATTTCGTGGATTAGTTAAAGTTGGATTTTAACACCGTTGGATGCCGACTGGCTCAGGGATCTAGAGGTTAAGCGTTTGCGCGCTAGTCCGATAGGTCCTAGGTTCGAATCTCACGAGGCGGGATCGTGGATGCACTCTGCTGAAGAGTTCCACAATTGGATGAAATGGCTGTTTAGTGTTTCTAAGTTTTCCATAGTGATCTAGTTTCAATTGACTCATGATCTCAACTATTAAAATTACTATCATATCCACAAAACTCCTTTTCATACTAATAGATCATAGTCTAGAAGTAAAAAGCTCTATGTATTACTGGATTTCTAGCATAGAATGACACTTATACATAACTTATCTGAAATGTAACAATTCACTGACAAATAAGGTTGTCAATTTTAAGTGAGTCATTTACAAAGCAAACGCATTTCATTTCATAGACTTTTACATCACTCTTTAAGTATACAGAGCATTAGTTTAGATGTTTGACTTTGAAATTATTATTCATTGTGAATGTTAGTTAGATAACTAATGAAAACCGCGATGCAACGAGGAACATTTTCGTTTTAGTACAGAACACCTAAATAGTTTATATCCGTGCCGAACCCGATACTGAACACAGAACCTTGTTCCCTCCTAGCAAACAGGCAAAATTTGGATTTACGATGCGATACTAAAAGTTAGTTACAAGAAAAAGGTTGATTATAAATACAGTGGTCTTGAGTGCTATTGGAGGTATGAGGGCGGTTATCGCTTCCCGTTGCCCACACCGTGGAAGGATTCTTCTGCAGGTACCTAAACTGCGTGACCGCAGTTCCCAATGAACAACTACTTGATATCGACCACACACGACCTTTTTGTGAATAGTTTTCGTGTTAGCTAAGTACTTGTTGAGATCGAAGCGCTAGAGACGGCTATCCATGGGATAAGGTGAGGTGTGCGCTTTTAAGGTCGACCTTTTCTAACGTCACCCCTCCTTGTGGAAAAGCAGCATCGTTGTTATGCTGGTTTTCTGAAGGAAATAGCTTACTACCGTCACAGTTCTGTACAGTCAGCAGTACGACTTCCCCTTCGGATCTTGAGTTTGTTGCTTTTAGTCTTACCGCTCTTCAACTGACCTATCTAGCATGGTAGATTATTGAGGAATGATTGTTCTAACCAGTATAGCTCAGTTACTTCATCAAGATAGGCAAGCTTGACTATCATATCAAGGTAGCGATAACGTTCGGGACGAGTTCTATCCTTGATGTATTTGTAGGTACTCACTGGTTAATTCTTATTTGATTTTCCTGGTTTTCAATAATTCATATCCATACAGTATTGATCGATGAAACTAACTTCTTCTTCTTCTTCTTTATTTTATCATTTACTCTTAGAATAAAGATGATTATTTATCAAATAGTGATACAGTTGAAGTTATCTATTTACCAGGATGTGAAATACAATCTGATTTATGTATTTCTAATGAAAAATTTAATATACGTTTATTTGTACCAATATCTCGTACTAATTTACCATTATCATCTGCATTTGCTTCATATCGATCGAATACTTCACATAGAATTAATAATCATGATCATAATCATGATCATGATCATGATGATGATCCAAGTATAAGTAATAAATTAAAACGTAGAGCATCATTATTATCATTAACTTCATTATCATATTTAAGTAATGCACTTGGTATATCATCTACATCTACATCTACATCTACATCTACATCTTATCATTATACACCGAATGGATCTATGAATATCACTGGTATTGGTGCATTAACTGGTTCATCTGCTATGATGACTGGTCTTATGAATGAATTATGGTTACGTTTTATTAATATTAATGATTATATGGATTGGTTAACATTATTACGTATTATAACATCTATACAATCTATGGGAATATCTAATTATAATACAAATAATTCTAATTCATTATTAAAATTATCTAAAAAACAATATACTACTAAAATATTATCATTATTAAATCGTTCAATATTCAATAAAGAATATAAAGCTATAAGAAATATGATTAATTTATTATCACCAAATTGTTTAAATAAATTAAATCAAGTTAATGAACAAATTAATATAACTAGATTATATAATCATTTAAAGAAACGTTACATTGATATATTACCATTAAGATTAGGTTATATGAAAGGAATACAAAGAACATGGGATTATAGACGTGATCGTGATCGTGATCGCGATCGTGATCGTGATCTTGATCGTGATCATTATCAATATGATAGTTTATTAAAACGTTCAAATACTTTAACAAATCAAGATAAACCTTCAATTCATTCACAAACTATACAAGTAAGTTATTATTTTATTTAAATATTGTTATTGGATTTAAATGGTCAGATTCTATAAGATAGTGGAACAATGTCAGGAGATTTAGTTCTATGATAGCTGATAATCAATGATTGATTTATATACTATTTGTTCCTTTAAGATACTAGAGTTCCTAAACACTATTAGTATGGAATAAGGGTTTTGTAACTTTTCCAGGGTAGACTCTCTATGTTTATCATCCTGTTTTAAGCACCGTACATTTACTTTTAGTTTTATCAATCTCGTAAACAACACCCACGTCACGTATGCACGTGGCCATGTGAGAGCGTTTCAAGAGGATAAGCTGATTCTTCTCATTCTCTGCCGTACCAGGGCATATAAACCAAGATTTATGTGTCTATTAGCTAGGATAATTCGATTCTACAGTTCACTTTATCAGTATAGGATTGTGGAGATTATTAAGTTATTGATTGAGATCATGAACCGATTGATGTTAGACCACCGTTAAAAATTTGGAAGTACTGAATGACCATTTCGTCCTATTGTGGGACTCCTCAGCAGTGTGCATCCACGACCCCGCTCACAGGATTCGAATAAAAGGCCTTCAGTCTAACACACGAACGCTCAACCTACCAGATCATTGAGCCGGTATCAAACGATGTTAATGTCTAACCTCAACCAATCCAAGAAAGTACGCGACCATCTTCCATTGTACTAAGGTAGATAACTGTCTCTACCCAACACGAATTAGCTCCATTGGTCATGGCTTTAGTCTTTTAATCAGTAGCATAGATAATCTCTACAATCCCATTTTGATAATTTAGTAAAAATCGGGGAAAATTGAACAGTTATTTCATTTCGCTAGTAGGACTGGTTGAAAAGAGTTGTTTCTGTTGGTGTTATGGATCACACGAAATCGCTGGTCTCAGAACAATTCAACCGGAGTGGTAACAATGCAGAATGAATAGTTGTGAAATGCGAGAATGAGTGAATTGTACACATATGATTAGTCGTGGATAGGATGGAAATAGGTTGAGTAAAGCACGAGAAATTAGAGAAATCGGTCTTCTGAGAGGTTAGCAATATGGACAGAAATCGGAGGAAGTCAGCAGTGGAAGAAGGTGAGCGTTACGGGATGTGAGTGCAGTACCGATTGGTGGTTTTCAACATAGCATTAATTGTATGCTTCGTCCTTAAATATATTCCCCATTAACGATTCACACGTTTCCCACTGTCGTCTACTGTTCACTGAGTTATTCAAGCACATCGATCCAGTAGATCAGTATATACACACTGAATGAAACTATTGTCTCTACTAGCTAGGATAATTTAATTCTACAGTCCGCTAACAAGTAGATCACTTTACTTTTTTAATCAGTGACATAAATAATCAACAACAGTGACTGGAAATACTATTATATACTGGTTAACACAATTCTTCCTATCTCTAATGACCAATCAGAATGCGAGAATACCGACCCAATTTGTCCCCTATCATTATGACTCAAAAATCTATAAAATTACATACATAGATCAAACAACAACAATACATCACAAATAAGAAATCAACATGTACATATAACTAGTAATAAAAAAACTAAGTAATAAGTGAATGATGTGGTAGGTCTAATAGTTCCACCTTTCTCGAATAATCGTCCATATTCAACAATTTAGAGACCGAAGACCGTGGGTTCGAATCCCGCAAGTGGTATTATGAATACGCACTGTTGAAGAGTCTCACAATAGGACGAAAAGACCATCCAGTACTTCCAAGTTTTCAATGATGATCTAACAGCAATCGGTTCATGATCTCAATCAAAAACATAATAATTTCCACAACCCCATGGTGATCTAGCTTCAACTGTCTCATGATCTTAACCATTGAAATTATTTGATCTTAGACTTCTCAATAATGGTCATATGATACCTTGAATCGATTTAACTTCAAATCATGTAAAATCGAATGTCAACCGAATTGTCTAAATATATCTTTTCTGATGAAAACGACGTCAAGTTAAAAGCCATTTTAGGTATGTGTACATCCTTCACAGATTGACTCGATATAGCCTTTATGATACAAGTTGATATCGAATAGATAGAATGTGACTAACGGTAGAATCCAGGCGATTGACTGTCTGAACTCAGTAATTAAGAGGATAAAGAGATGGTGTTTGACGCAATTATCGACTCTAGGATTCAAGTACATCCAGCTGACGAGTCTCAAATAAGACGAAACGTGTATCATGAATTCCATGGCTATCTATTCTTTATAAATTACATTATTTGTTGACTGAATGATTTAAAACATTTGACATGAAATCATTAAATCTCAGGTTTATATAGCGTTTTAAATTATCGGGCGAAACTTATACACTTTTGGTGCAATCATAATGTTTGTAAATAGGTCAAGTTCATGCATGGGACTGACAGTCCTAAATTCAAATCCCAAGTATTGTATCATGTATGTGAACTGTTGAGGAGTCTCATACTAGGACGAAACAGCCATTCATTGCTTCCAGGTTTTCAATTGTGATCTAACATCAATCGATTCGTGATTTTAATCAAAACTCAATCTCTCGTTATTAATCAGCTTCCGTTTATATCATTTTAACTATTTTATAGTTAGGATTATGACCATAAATCGATCAATAATAAACCACCATTGAATACCTAGAAGTGCTGAACGATCATTTTATGCAAAGGTTAAGGATTCATACATGGGACTGATAGTCCTGTGTTCGAATCCCATACATTGAATCACACATATTCACTGCTAAAGAGTTTCATACTAGAACAAAACAGCTGTGCATTTGCATGGAGGTTTTCAATTGTGATCTAACATCAATCAATTCATGATCTCAATCGAATTTCAACAATCATTATTAACCTAATACTTATATTTATTTTTAATTGTTGAGATCATGAGTCAATTAAACCTAGATCACCATAGAAAACTTAGAAGCACTAAACGGCTGTTTCGTCCCATTATGGGACTCCTCAACTGTGCGCATCCACGATCTCATCTCCTGTGAGAGATATATTCAGGAGTTTTAGTGAGTAAGAGTGAACAGTGGAGTTCAACCAGGACTGTTATAATGATGGATGTGTCGTTCAATTTCATGGATTAATTGAAGTTAGATATTTATGAACACTTGTATGGTTTTGATGATGACTGTTTCGTGCTATTGTGGAACTGCTCCGTAGCAGTGTACATCCACAATTCCGCCTTGCGGGACCTACTGGTCTCGGGCATGAGCACTTAACCATTAGACCACTTAGCCGACTGTCATTCAACAGTGTTCATGTTTCACTTCAACTCATCTACAAAATTCACCAACATATCCACATCCACTCCAAGATATTACATGAAAACAATCAATTATTCATCTAATACTTATGATATTTGTTTCTTTTTTCTTTTTTTTTTGTTTTTGTTTTTTGTTCTGATTAGACTCGAACTAATCTGATTCAACGTATTACATCTATATATAGTCAAATAAATCATTTAAGTAGTTTACAATGTAAATTAAAATATATTAATATATGGGAACAATTACATTTACATGGTATTGCATTTTTTACTGGACGTATTGAAGTCATTGTACCATTGAATACATTAATCCATTCTGATAATAATCTATTATGTAATGATAGTAATAATAGTAATAATAGTAATAATAATAATAATGAACAAACAAATTGGTTATCTGGAATTAATCGATCAATAATCAATAATTATGTAACAATATCCATGAGTCGTAAAATTGAATCGATCGGAATTGGATCTAAACGAATTTATCGTTGTGATTTAACAAATGGTGATATTATAGCAAGTTGGCGATTATCATCCATACAAAGTTGGCATATTAATTGGGAATTAAATGAAATTGTATTAAATTTAATTAATCAATCAAAAATTCAATCGAATACTACTCATACTACTCATAACATTAATAGTAGTAGTAGTAGTAATAGTAGTAATAGTAATAGTCATAGTAAAATAGATCATCAATTTACTGGTCGAGTTATAATACGACCAATTGATGTATCTGTAAGAATTGTAGCTGAATTTTTAGGCGGTTATACATTTTTAAATTTAAGATCACCAGAAAAAAATCAATATCTTGCTGAAGAGATTTTTTATAAATTAACAACTGGTCAATCACAACCATCTGTATAATGAATAGTTCATTATATTAGCTTGAATGATAATGATGAGGATGATGATGATGATGAGGATGAGGAGGAGGAGGAGGATGATGATGAAATCGAACCTTTTAATGCTGATGTCTTTCAATGATCAGTTATTTTATTGAACATTTGTTTAAATTGCATGCCGTAAAACTTATCCTGTCTATTCAAATCTCTCCCAATTTCCTGACATACACACACATACATACCTATATATATATATATATATACATCCATATAATTATCATAGATATAATTCTTGGTCAGTGGTTCAATTTACATACATACTCTATACATACTGCATAGATACAAGCATACATACATGGATACCAAATGTACACATACATGGATACTAAATGCATACCGAGTTATTATTATTATTATTATCATTATTATTGTTGTTGTTCAGAATATCTTTTATTGATTCATCTATGATCCTATTTCCTATGACAACTAATTATGTAACTAACCATATATATCTATTTATGTTGATATTTCATTTATATCAATTCACTTGAATTATCTGATGGAGAGTTATTTTTAAGAAATCATCACTATGCATAACACAAATCTAATCTATACATGAATTCATTGGTGGTGATGGCGGTGGTAGTGGTGGTGATAGTGGTAGCGGCAGGGGGGAAAGAGAGATCGGAAAGGTTATTTCATATAAATTTGATTGTATAGTATGCAAAATGATAGGTATCATGATTTTGGTTCTTTTTTGTTTTGTTTCTTTTTTTCTTTCATTTCACATTTATGAAATATTCCATTTTCTTTAATCTTTCTAGATACTTCTTATACTATACTATTTATGGCACTACTTATTTCAGTAGTGTTAGAGAGAACATATAAAAGAAAAAATAATAATAACATATAACTTCCTCATTATTGATGTATCTTTATATGACAGCGCTTTTCAATGGTTTCACTCATCTCGTTTTTTGAGTAAGTGTGTGTGTCTGTGCATATGTGTGTGTGTCTGTGCGTATGTGTGTGTGTTTGTGTTTAGTTGCTAAGACATCATTCACACCTAAGAAGTATACACATGGATATTGTTGATTTTCATTCATTATGATTATTCTATATTACAAAAAATAATAATAAATTCACAAATTGATTTACTGCCGGTTTTATTTGGAAAAATAATCATTTTCATTTTCTGAATATAGGAGGGGGGAATTGAGCAGGGGTGGGTGAATTGATGAAATTGTTACATTTAATGTTTATATATGTATTATATAGATGTGAATGTGCATTTCTCATTATAGAATTAGTGTTATTTGACAAGTTATTGGGAACTTTTGAAGTATACATAAGATAAGAAAAATAGTATCTATGATGTAATCAGTTGATATCTGTTGATTAATAATCAAAGCTTTTATTATTCTCATGATAGATTATTAATAGATAACAGATATAGTTTAAAGAGATCTGATTTCATTGATCATATCTTCTTTATCACTTATTCATATTGAATACAGTTATTGATCAGCACAAATTGTTTCTAACGCCGTTAGATTCTGGCCGACTCAATTCGCATTCACCAAACTGATAGGTTCTAGGTTCGAATCTCACGAAGTGAGATCATGAATGCACACTGCCGAAAAGTCTCACAGTGAGAAGAAACAACTATCTAATTCTTTTAGGTTTTCCATGATAATCTAGCTTCAATGAACTCATGATCTCAATTATTAAAATTACTGTAATATCCACACAAATTGGAGTACATTCAAAACTATTAATAATAATAGTTGGTTAGAAATAACTAAAGTAACTCTTTTTGTAATCTTTAATTGATTCTACTTAAATGGTAACAATAATAAAGCGTAATTACTTAAATTAACTGTTGTATCTACCCTAACCCCCACCCCTCTCTCTCCCCCCCTCTTTGATATCATAAACAAGAATACAAAAGTAGACAACAAAATATATTCAGTTACCGAGTAATATATACAATTACTTATTCAAATATGTAAAACTTAACCCATGGATAAGAAATCAATCCATTTCTTATCTATTGAAATGCATCTATCTATTAAGTGATTTTTGATTACTATCATAGGACCTTTTTATTAAGCTACTTTTGGTTGATTCATTATATCATTAACTATATTATATAATAATGATTATAAAAATGTAAAACTATATTGATATAATTCATTTGAGACCGAGAGTGGGGAGAGTCCTCTCTCCCTCTCGAAATGCTCTCACATAGCCATGCGTATATAGCCTCTGCCAGGGAAGTCCTACTCACTGCCTTCTCGTGGCGGGGGTGTTGTTTACAAAAATGAGAGGACGAAAAGCGAATGTCTGGCGCTTTAACCGGACCCCAAACCAATGGTGCACATGAGCTCCAGTATCCTGCGGGAACAAATGGCGTATGAACCAATCGTTGGTCACCGGCTACCATGGGACTGCATCTCCTCACGATGCTCCACTGCCTTGTGGGTCAGACGTTCAGGTCGAAGGCTCGGGGTGTGGCCCCCTAAGAAAACCACCTGCTTCGGTTTGGGCACCCGGGCAGTATCACAGCCCTCACACAAATCAATTGAGATTTGTGTGGCGCATATGTATTTGGTGCCACCCTGTACCTATACTTATGTGTTGAAATAAAATAATAAAAATAAGATAGATGATAAATGATATAGTGCAATGATTGATATTACAATAAGGGTATGAAATACAAGTAAATCATGAATACAGATGATCGATTGTTATCATTTGTGGTCTATATTCCCTGTTCATGTATAAAGCAACAATACCATCAATCAGAGAGCAGTGAATTATCAATTCGACCAATGATACCTAAAATCCATGCGAGCAGTCTAGAGTCCTGATAGATCCTGCTTCCTACCTAGCCCAACCAGTTATCACTATTCATTATGCTTATATGGTGGCATAACAATGGTAAACAAACAATAAGGATAAATAAACAAAATTTATCATATAGGGATAGATTGAAAACAATCAGTCAAGAGAGGACCTAATGAATAACCCATTGAGAGATTTCATTTATATAAGAGATATATGAATGATATTTTCATTATTTATGAAGAAGACATGAACCTCAATTGTAAGTTACAGGGAAATAAGATAGAAGAAATACCCAAGTATAAACAGACTTCATTCAACATGATAAAACGATTAATAGTTTCTATATGGTTACTATATCAATATGAAAGGAACAAGAGCATACAATTGAAGATGAATGGAATGTAATTCAATACAAAATTACATCATGTTTTAGTAAAATATAAGAATCATATAGTGAATTAGTTCTTCTGGTTAGCATTAGCGAGCATGGAGAACAGTTGACAGATACATTCCTAATAAAGACTGAAGTCAGACAAGGCTGCCTGCTCTCCTCCTTCCTCTTTCTTTCTAGTGGTCGACTGGATTATGAAGATCTAATGGATTTGAGGGAAAACACGGAATATAATGAACAGCTCAGAACTAAATAGACGATTAGAACTTCGTAGATGACCTAGCTCTACTATTCCATACATACGAACAAATGAAGATGAAATCAACTAGTGTAGCGGTAGCCTCTGCCTCAGTAGACCTTAATATACACAAAGGAAAAATCAAGATCCTCAAATACAACACGGAGAAGACAAACCCAATCACACTTGATGGACAAGCTCTGGAGGATGCGTAATCTTTCAAGTACCTGGGAATCATAATCCATGAAGAAGGAGGATCGAATGCAGACGTAAATGCTAGGATTGACAAAGCAAGGACAACATTCCTACAATTGAATAACATATGGAACTCAAACACAACTGTCTATCAACCAATATCGAAGTCAAAAACTTCAATGCGAACGTCAAGACAGTTCTACTATATGGAGCTGAAACGGAGAACCACTACAACCATCATCAAGTAGGTGCAAGTATTTATCAATAGTTGTCTACGTAAGATATTCATCATCATCAGCAACATCCTACTGCGGGAGAGAACAAACCAGCTTCCAGTTGAAGAGTAAATAAGGAAAAGACATTGGAAGTGGGTACGATACACATTACGGTAATCACCAAATCGCATCATGAGACAAGTGCTAACTTGGGATCCTGAAGGGAAGTGGAAAAGTGGAAGGCCAAAGAACATATTACTTCGGGAAATAGAAGCAGATATGAAGAGGATAAATAACAACTGGAAAGACATGCCTAGGACAGGATTGGATGGAGAGTGCTTGTGGTTGGCCTATGCTCCTCCAATGAGGAGTAACAGGCGTTAGCAAGTATGTAAGTTATACAGCAAATCCTTCATTTGCGAAATGTCAATCAATCGTCTCAGACTTCATTGTTCCTTCGTTTTCACATCAATCATCCATTGTTCTCGTTTTCTTCCCTTCGATCTCCTTAATCTTCTGTCTCCTGGCACTTAACTTTCTATTGATGATACATACTACTTATATTTGTCTACATCAGTAGCACACACCAAAGTAAATTGTAAAAACGACGACATGTATACTCATCCTTATGAATATAATTTGTCCATCTATGAGAACTCTTAAAAGAATCCAAACAATCTTTTAGTATGAGAAGGGGGTTTTGCGGATATTTTAGTAATGTTATAGTTGAATTCATGAATCAATTGAAACTGGACCATCATGGAAAACGTGGATGATCGTAGATGCACACTGCTTAAGAGTCCCACAATAAGATGAAACCGCCATCCAATACTTCTAGATTTTCCATAGTGACCTAACTTCAATTGACTCATGAATTCAACTATAGACTTTCAATAGTTTCTACGTTGTTCTTAATGACAATTAGGCTTTTAATGACGAATTCAATATCAGCTATAGTGTAAAAATATTTTGTAGTCATACAGTTAAATTTATTCTATTAAAGTTACTATAATCAATTTGTTATGGTAACCAATGACTATGAGTAGGTTAGACTCATGAATGTCAAAATCTCATTTCTTCCTCTTACCAAATCAAATTGTTCATACTCCAATTGACACTGTTGCTGTTTTGTCCTTATGCCTTGTTAATATACTACATCATAAGATCATCAATTATAAACATCGACTTATGTGGCTTTGGCATTGTGCCAAATGAAGACCAAAGAACACATTACGTCGGGAAATAGATTCAAATATGAAAATGAATGAATAACAACTGAAAAATGTTGGAAAAGATTGCTCAGGACAGAGTTGGATAAAGAATGCTGATGAACTGCTTATGCTCCTTCACGAGGAGTAACAGGCCTAATTAATTAATTAAGTAAGTATTGTGCCAAATGAATAATGTTTAAAGCAATACCATCAGATTAAAGTTAACTCTAAATCCTTCTCTTTTAATTGTACCCATCCAGTCCAAAATATAAATCTCAGCTTCCACTGTATGAATCATGTATTTCAAACAATCAGTTTATATACAAGCAATTAAGACTACATCTGTTGGGATGATCCAGAGAAATTCTCGTAAAAAACATACAAGAATCAAGAAATCTTAAGAAGTATTTCATCCAATCAGCGTTCACTTGGAGTTTAGCCAGAAATTATCAAGGATATAAAACATCACATGTAGAGGTTTTGATTAGTTGATTGTTATACTACTACTATGTTTAGTAGCATTCCAGAATATTCGAGCAACCTAAGGACATTTAAAATATTATAAAAACCCTATCTTTTCTGAACTAGAATGAACCATTGGAGTAAAGTACTGTTCACATGCTTTGCTCCTTCTCCCTCGTGTTCACGTTGCTGTATAGTTCTAGCTTGGGGGGGTTTCAAGAATAGCCTAGGAATCGAGTACGGCGTTCAAATTAGAAGACTTATCAGTATCATATCATAAAATAGAAAATAAAAATTATACAAAATCATACTAAAAGTTGATTGTGAATGTAAAAGATTAAAACGAATAGATTAAGAATAATTTCAGAATAGTAAATTGTATCATACTATTCAAAATAACTATGAATGTGATATATACTACTGATATCAATAGATATAAGTAGTATTGTATGTGGAATACCTGATAACAAATGGTTAAGAAGATCAAACGTAAACATAAATAAAGAATGATTAAAGTAGAAAAGAACAATCAATCAAACATATAATGTGCATTCTAAATTTGATTGCTAAAAATTATCCATCTCACTTTAAAATCAATGTTTATGTTCTATA